ATGACTGCCGGCCCCCTCGCCTTTCTCCTCCTCTACCTCCATCTCACTACCACTATCGCTCTCTCCCTCTGCAACACCTGACCTCCTCCCTCATCTCTCTTCAATCTTTTCCACCCTTTTAAGCATCTCCACTGTGCTTACCAGGTCATTCACCACCTCTAGACAGCTATGTGCAAGGGCTGGGCCCTCCAGCTCATGAGCACGGGCAAATGGCTCATTTACAAAAGGTTTCGTAGGCATACGGAACATAACTCAACATTCGTTCTGACATGTGTTGGATACGGGTGAGTTTGCACTGCTGCAAACCGGCAACATGATACACCATTTGTCTGACTTCCCTTTCTAGCCTTTCCTTGTCGTTCTTAGGATCAAAGGGCTGTGGGCCGTCAAAATCAAACCCCTCCCGCATGCTTAAGATGTCGAGGGCCGCCTCATCCTCTAGTGAGATGCGTTCTAGTAGCTCGATGACCCTGCCCGACTACTTGTGTAGCATTTTAGAAGCATGATGATGATCAATTAAGAGGCAGACCCTGTGAGCGTGTTAGAATAGGGGGAATAGGCACAAAATTTTTTAAATATAGACTAGTGAGCAGCACTTCTGCAAACAGTAGTTGTAAAACTTCTTTTATTTTCCTACGCGTTTCGTCTGTCGTAGACTTTCTTAGGGAGTTTTACAAGTATAACTAAACGCCTGTATTTATATGCCAAAGTAAGAGGGGCGGATGACCGTAAAGACTTGGCCAGACCTACGAACAGGAACAGGCGAAGTTGTGAAAAATGTGTGAAAAATTTAACGGTTCCTTACAGCATGAACAAGCATAAAATAACATAAAAAATCAATAAAAGGTCCTCAAACTCTAGTTGTGAGGTCCTCCAAGTATACCATGGTCAAGAGAGCACCCTTAAACTTTGACCAGAGCCTGGGCAGAAGCTAAATGTCTTGAGAAATTTTATCTGTCAGCGAAAAAACGAGACGGCAGTTTTTACAACAAAAATCACTTACCGCGATGCGAGCCGCGTTGTATCGTTACGCGCGGGAAAATGTTGGAATCGTTGCTGGAATGTATGAATTAGAAACAATTTTTGGTGGTGTATATTATCTCACTGTTTTAGTATATACTAAAACAACTATCATTCATTTTGAGCTTGTTCAAATTCTTCATGATAGTCGATGATAGTTTTTCTCGTTTGACCACGCGTATGATAGTTCATGATAGTTTTTGGTCAGCTGTTTTCCCCGAAAATCGGCGAGCTCGATTAAAATGGTCATCAAAAGCTCCTCGCGAGGCTCAGCTTTAGCTTCAGAAATTCGATTTTATACCCAAGATAGTAATAATGAGAGAGAAAATATTGAAAACCAAGAATCTGGAGAAAGCGTCAACTCGCAGGAATTCGAAGAGACACCGCCGAAAAAAACAGGGTTTCACTAGACATTCAACGGCGAGATGGAGTAATGACCTGATATTACGTCTAATAGACATACATTCCTCCAACAAATCGATTACTAGTAAGCAAGCTGCCGCCCTCTTTCGTCGTAAATTCATACTTCAACAAGTTTGTTTGTCTCATGCGAAGCCATGTTAGTGTTCACATTTTACGCGGAAAGAGCCTGGAACTAGCTGCTTGCGTGACTTTGCTTGCGTGACTTTGCTTGCGTGACTTTGCTTGCGTGACTTTGCTCGCGCGACTGCCGGTGAGTTATCATCAACTATCACGAGATTTTTTGGCCGTTTGACCATGCGAATGATAGTTGGTGATCGTTGATGATAGTTTGAAGAGAATCAACTATCATCGACTATCATGCGCCGTTTGACTAAGGCTTAAAACGAACTATTGACCTCAAAACATAGCTCCTCAACTGTGACAGTCATTGTCGTCCACGGAAACAACATGCATGACAGCCGATTACGTGACCTGACAAGTTTCCATTTATCACGCGATAAATGATAAATTATCGCGCGATAATTTATTATTTATCGCGCGATAATTTCCATTTATCGCGCGATAATTTTGCATTGATCGCGTGATAATTTTCATTTATCGCGCGATAAAAAAAAAATGTCATGTCCCCAATGGGCCACCGTACGAAATGCCGTCACGAAAACAAGTTTTTCATAGCATCGAATCAGAAGAAGTGCGTGCGTGACGACTTCTAACCGTTCTTGAATTTTAAACATTCATGACCGTTTACTTCTCGTAGACAACTCTCAGTCTGATGATCGCCTAGAGCGTGAAACTCGAGTAACTAGTAATAATTTCCTTCTTTCACATTTGTATATATATCTAAAGTGTAGAACGTAGATATTCGTAAAACAGTGCTCAACACATTAATGTAGAGCGAACTATATGTTTGTGGAGGAAAGAAACAAATAAACTACGCTTTCATTCCGACAAGCCTGTTTCGTGGTTGCCCACTCACCATACTCACATGACACTGTACTTTCAAAACACATTTGGGACTTGAAAGACCGAAACAACGACTACAAGACCAACTGGCGCATCATCAAAAGGGCAAGCGCACACAAAGGCAAACCATCTCGCTGCAACCTATGTTTAGGTGAAAAACTTTGCATCTTGACCGCTCAAAATGCCTCTCTCTTAAATAAGAAATCTGAGCTTGTAACGAAATGCCGCCACGAAAACAATTTTTTCATAGGAACCAATAAGAACTGCGCGCGACTTCTAACCGTTCTTGAGTTTTAAACATTCATAACCGTTTACTTCTCATAGACAACTCTCAGTCTGGTGATCGCCTAGAGCGTGAAACTCGAGTAACNAGTGTGGGTCGCAGACACTGGGCCAAGCTCTGGAATAAACCATTGCCTGGGCGCTATACTTGTGGGACCAAGTGCAGGCATGTTGCCATGCGAGAGTGCTCAAATCAAAACTAAGGTGATGAGCTTCGCCCGAAGGCTAAGTGCATGGCAACCCCAGTGTAAAGTGCTCAATCGCAAGGTAGCCAAAAGGCAAAGACAAGCGAGAGCTATCTATCCGATTTCGTCTGATTGTTTTGATGATTTGGTAATTTGGGTTTTGCTGTGACTGGAGATAATGTTTTTTACGTTGGTGATACAGCTGTAGCTCAGCTTTAGGGTGTTCCGGTTAAAGATTTTGTGCAGCGGGTTTGGATTTAGGGAAATGTTGATCAATTAACTGGAGGAAGCATTTACCGATTTTTGTTTCAACATTTTGGCTGTAAGGCGGATTGTACCACAGTACGCTGCTTTGACGGTTCTTGCTCTTTCGTGACGCATCAGGGGTTGATGTTCTAAATGACAGGTTGAATTTGTGGCGACTTTTATTAAGTGCGTCTTGGTATGGACCTTTGGCTTTGTCAAAACAATCCTTGACTGATTAAATTTCCGAAAGACGCTTATTGATGGTTGCGGGAATGTTCTTTAGAATAGAAGGTGGGTGGTTAGATTGCTTATGTATATAGAGCGGTGTGTTTCCTTCTTTTGTGTATGGCGAGTACTTTCCGCTTTTAAGGTCGAGTGTAACATGTAAAAAATTGACTTTGGTTAGATTGGCCTCCACTGTGATCTTTAGATCATTATCACGGAAAATTTTGCAGATTCCTTTCTTAATTTTTAAAACAGAAATTAAAGCACATAGTGGATGGGCAGAAGAAGGAAAGAACAGAGAAAATAGGAGAGAAAAGGGCCTTTCTTACAAAGTTGGACGGAAAGACCATATCATGGAAAGTTCATAACCTTTGATTTTTTACTTAAATTCTGTATAGATGTTGATGAGTGCACATTGGGAGAATACAATTGTCCCGCTGAGAACGAATGTATCAACACTAGAGGTTCATATCAGTGCTCAGAGTGTAAACTTGGATATACTGACGATGGAAACATCTGCCAGGGTAAGATTTGTAAACAATAACAGAGACAGTTAATACAAACAGAAAAACAGGTTGACATATATACACTCACAAAGACTAATAACAACTCTGGTGACACTAGCTAGGTCTTACATTTCGACAGGCAACAACACACAGAAAAATAAACGGATATGCAGAGCCACGTTTCTTTGAATTGACTTCCTAACACCATCTTCAAACCCAAACAATTTTCATAACAGACAATTGGAAAACGATAAACGTCAATCCTGTCTGTTTCGGGACAAAAGATGACGACCACGGAGCTTTTTCTTTCCAAGAAGCCGGTCATATCTACACATTTAAACTTGTCCATACAAGTGGCTCAGTGACATGTGAAAATAGGACTACACACCGATCAACAAAGTGGGGATGCTTTTTTCCTTATGGATACCGTAGCTTAATGACGGTGATAACTTACAGCAACAAAACCCTTCTTCCATTTACTGAATTCAAGAAAGGCAGCGAAAATAATTATTATTCTTACAAAATTGATGGTGTTGATGCCAACTCTCTCTCTCTTGAGTATAACCTTCTCCCCAACCCACTGGTTGTATCTGTTGGTCAGCAGTTACAAATATGGTTTTGGCAGGACCTAGTTAATTTTACCGAGGAAAATAACTTTGGTAAGACATGCACAGACGTTTATGCTTTGTACCCATGAACTTAATTTCATCACTAAACATTGATGGGGAACTAAGTTTGAATTCAAATCAGCCGTCAGGCTATGAACTCGGAAAAGCAATTCTGATAATAACTTTCCAGTGACATTCTAAAATGCATTATATCCTTTTAACTATAAATTAATCATTAGATTGAAAGTGAGAATCTAATGGACGTACGAAAGTTTATAAAATCGTAATCTAACTATTCATTTTGTTAACCAATTTCACAAAACCAGTAGTACGCCAGAAATATTTGTTGGAATGTCATTGGGTGATGAAAAAGAAACCAATCAAACGCGAGATAAGTAAACTTGAAACGAGAACTTCTCAGGGTTTTATGGTTGGTACGAGACATAACTCTCTAATGTATCTAGTCATTGCTAAATATTTCTAATGGCCACGGTTTCCTTATTATGATTAAAAAAGTGGATTCAGTAGAGAAAAGAGAGCAACCTCAAAGTGCCATTGCTTTCCGTGTGGTCGATAAAAAATGCGTAGTTAGACGACAGATAGCATGAAAGGATTTCCGCATAGCTTTTGTTACGGTATTTTCTCAACCGACAGAAAGATATAACTCGTACAAACTCAACTAGTTTATTAACCGACGTAATAATCTTACTCTGGAGCGATACCAATACCCAGTACAATAACTGTCCTCTTATCTTAGAGCCCTCTATAAAACTATAATCTCAGTGTTCTACTGCACAATTTACGGTTCTCCTCAAAGATCCTTGTAGCTTATCGATGTCCACAAAACTTTCTCAACGTAGCCTGGCTTCCACATGGCTGACGAATTCAGTAACTGTAAATAATTCCAACGATTCTCTCTAACCGGCTCTGTAACAACACTAGCTCCTCTGGGCTCTTCACGATAGCACTAACTCACTGAAAAAGGCTAACTTTAACTGATCGCGACTCCTTATATATGTTTTACAAAATGTTCTAGAATATTATAGGGATTTGTAATATAACTATTTTTGGTATCATTACATCATTGCATAATAACAAAATATGCTGACTAAGGGTTTTAGAAAGTTCCAATGAGTAAGCATGACCGAGCGTTCCAGAAACTTCCTCAGTTCTATTTTTAGCAATTCCGCAACACAACGCTTTCTAGAAAATACGGGCACTCTCCAGAACACTTTCTCGATAAGCTGGAGCTTTAAGAGGTAACTGACATAATTGTCCTTTTCTTAAGTACAAAAATAAGGGCCTTTAAGTTTGTCTATCACAATTTCTTCAAGATATTAGAAATTAAGAAAAATTGTTCAAGTCCATTTCGAATTCTTCAAAAGAGAGTTTGGAGAGAATTGCACAGCTTAGAAAATTCTAGCTATCTGCTTGGCTATCAAAGTGTGGCTAACCGATATTTCATCAGTAAGTAAATATGTTGCACATATAGCCTAAGCCATTAAATTGCTGTCATTGAATAAGAATAGATTCGCCTTTTCTTTAGAACGCTTCCACTTATGAGATGAGATCCAGGGAGGCTAACGTAATCTTTGTATCAGCAACCCCATATTAGTTCTGAGACGCTTCTCTTATGAGACTGGCACACTGTCAGTGGTGTCAAACATGCCACGGAGATTTCAAGATCATGGAGATCTATGTGAGTTTTGCGTGCATATGCACGAGAATAGGAAGAAATTTGAAAGATTTCTCGGGAGTATGAGCACAATTAGGAATATATATCATTTACTCTGGGAGTTATGGCAAAGACAGGAAATAAATATGGGTCACTGATCGACCCAAATTATTATTCCATTGTTTATCATTTTTATTGGCTATCTTCGGTGAAGAGACTAACTTTGG